GTATCACGACATTGTTACACCAAATTGGATTTATCATTACATAAAAGAGTTTACCATTACAACAAATTTAGTGTAAATAATTGGTGTAACCATTTTGTGATATTAAATAGTGTAATTCTTTGGTTTATGTAAATAACCAAATGACAAATTGGGTTGGTGTGGAAATTTTTTGTAATTGTTTGGTGTAAGTGTTTGGTTTATTAGAACATATGAGTAACTATTTAGTATATTATGGGGCNAATTGGTGTAACCATTTTGTGATATTAAATAGTGTAATTCTTTGGTTTATGTAAATGACCAAATGACAAATTGGGTTGGTGTGGTAATTTTGTGTAATTGTTTGGTGTAAGTTTTTGGTTTATTAGAACATATGAGTAACTGTTTAGTATATTATGAGACNTTCTTTGGTTTATGTAAATAACCAAATGACAAATTGGGTTGGTGTGGAAATTTTTTGTAATTGTTTGGTGTAAGTGTTTGGTTTATTAGAACATATGAGTAACTATTTAGTATATTATGGGGCAATTTGTAACTGATTGGTGTAATTGTGTTGTTGTAATGATGATATAAAGAGAGAGATAACAAGAAACGGTGAGAGAAAATAGGAGATCAAATCTTTACATATTTGAAAAAAAAATAAATTATCAATGGAAGAGAGAGAAAAAAATAAGGGGAGAGAGAGTGATTGAGTGAGGGAGAGAGAGAAAAAATAGGGAGTGAGAGTGAGATAATGGNGTTGTAATGATGATATAAAGAGAGAGATAACAAGAAACGGTGAGAGAAAATAGGAGATCAAATCTTTACATATTTGAAAAAAAAATAAATTATCAATAGAAGAGAGAGAAAAAAATAAGGGGAGAGAGAGTAATTGAGTGAGAGAGAGAGAGAGAGAGAGAAAATAGGGAGTGAGAGTGAGATAATAGAGAGAAGGGAAAGAGAGAGGGAAAGTAATGACGTAGGAGAGGAAGTAAAATAATAAGAATTATGTATAATTTAAAAAAGGGTAAGTAAGTAAAAAATTCAAATGTTATTTGAATTTTATACCTAATTACAATATGTTTTATTAAAATTGAACTTAATAGAGCAAAATATTTATCCGTACACTTGCTCTCAAATAAGTCTAAAAAAAAGGTAGCTACACCCAAAAAATCCTTTAGTATGTTAGCCGGCATTCAACACAGGTATTAAAGTATTAGCTCATAANGTTATTTGAATTTTATACCTAATTACAATATGTTTTATTAAAATTGAACTTAATAGAGCAAAATATTTATCCGTACACTTGCTCTCAAATAAGTCTAAAAAAAATGTGGCTACACCCAAAAAATCCATTAGTATGTTAGGCGGCATTCAACACAGGTATTAAAGTATTAGCTCATAAAATATCTATGTTGCCCTTCTTGGTTGAGGGCTAGAATAGGCAACGAGGTCAAGTACTAGTCAAATATGGGCGCAGCTCGTTTGTTGTTCACACCCAACAGCAGGCTATGCAATTAAATGTGTTGGACTAAAGAAGTTTTTAATAATAAAAATTAATTTTTGATCGATTTTGAATATAAATTAAAGTGGGACATGCTCATCATTTCGAGTAAATTTTTATGGATTTGTGTTCTACTCAGCGAGGATAATAATGTATTATATTCCCTTACTAGTCACTTGCTCAAATTGAGTAAGAGATTAATGAGAAAATAGGCTTCACACTGACTCTGTTGAATGTGAAAATAGAGGTTGAATGTGAAAATAGAGGTTGAGACAATGTGAGATTTGACATGAATCCCACATTAGTGGGATAAGGAATTTTACATGTGCAATTTTACATGCGTGCTGCCATGACCTGACTTGGTCGGGCTCGGGCTTTGGTATGGGTGTGGTTTAGACACAATCTTATATTTTTAGAAAAAATTCGTTTAATAAATTGGGTCTGAAATTCTTTACCCAGATTTTAATTTCTGCCTGTTAGATTTCAAATTCGCATTGATTTGAATTTTAACTTCCCTCTAGTTCTGAAATTTGAATTTTGTGTCTGTTCTTATTAGGTAGACTTTAATGGTGTTTTCTGGGTTGCATTGTGTCTGTTGGGTTGAGTCGATTATAATGGTTGTCCGAATAGTCACCATTTTGTCTTTAAATAACTCAGATCCATTAGCATTCGATATTAACTTCAGTACTTACAAAATTATGAATTAAGATAGTCATTACATTTATCATTCATGTGATTCATCAGTCTGCATTTCCGAGGATACACAACACGAATTTGATTCCTGAGCAATTGAATTGGAGTACTACTTTCAATTGCATGAAGATATTGTAACCTGTGAAGTAGAGGCTGAGAATTCATAAGCACTGTGGGGATAAAATATGTCTTAAGGATATAATGTTAAACACTAGTCTTGATCTATATAAAATTTAATCTCCATCCTATTCTACAATCAGATCAGTTTTATTATTGCAGATTTACATGTTACTAGTTTTGCTCCTAATTGCATAAATAGATTTATATGTTTTTGTTTAGAATATTTCTAAGTCTAATATCATTTGAGAATCTCAATAAGTAACTTTGCTCTATTGAGAAAATCAATACACTCCAACAAAATGAGACGACATCGTTTTGTCCATTTGAATGAAATGACACAATTTTTGTTGGGTTTGGGGTTCAGCCCATGTGTCAGCCCAACCCAAAGTCAACGGGTCCATAGCCTATTTGATATTACTTCTTGTTTTGGCAACGTGGCCCACGTGTACCACCTGATTAGTTGATAGAATTTGACACAAGCTGTGATTCTTGATATTGAAACCAAGAAGGAAAAAACTTCTGCTGGTAAAAAGAAGGCTTCGCAAGAGGCAGTAGGTGGCAAAAAAACAGAAGCAAGAGCTTCATGGTGAAAACCGAGAGGAAGAGAGAAAAGTATATCGCGTGAATTTTCGAGCCAAAATTCAGGCAGAGATTCAACATCTGATTTCGATAAAGTTTTAGTACGTTGTATAGGATAATAAGAATTACGCAATCATCAATTTATTTTGTCAAAAGACTTCTCAAATTAATATTTTTGCAAGATCTAATAGGTTAGATCTATTCTTGTTTTTTGGTGATATCCATCTTCGGGTGATGAATTATTAATACTTTGATAGCCTTTGGGAGTTGTTTTGGTAGGATTATTGTAAACTCATTATTGGAATATAGTGGAAGGTTGAGATTGGCGTTCATGGACATACCTTGGGTTTGGAGGAACGACATAAATTTTGTGTCTTCTTTATGCTTGATTTTATTACCTGCTTTATTTTTAGTTGATTGATTTTGGTACATTACTTATTTAATTTGCATAAAGAGGGGTAGAAGAATTAATTCCACTAATTTTTTTGAGTTCATCCTATCAAAGTGGTATCAGAGTGCAGGTTGCTTGATCAGATTGCGTGAATTTTCTTGTGCAAATTACATGGAGGAATCTTCAAATGCCATGATTAAATTAACGACATTAAACTACTCCGCTTGGAAGACCATGCTGGAGGATATCTTTTATTGCAAAGATTTGTTTGGGCCTATTGAATTTGATGGGGATCAATCCATTGTTGGCTAGAACTGACGAGGAATGAAAGAAAATCATCCGAAAAGACATCGAAAATATCACACTGTAGATTGATCAAAGTGTCTTTCGTCATGTAGCCAAAGAAATTGATACTTATCAACTTTGGCAAAAGCTAGAGAGTTTCCATGAGTGCTAGATTGCACAAAATAAAGCCTTTATGATTCGAAGGCTTGTGAACTTGAAGTATAAGGACGGACATAGTGTTGCAGAGCATCTCAATAATTTTTAAAACTTGTTGAATGAGTGTTCCACCATGAAACTTGTGCTCGATGATGAAGTGCAAGCATTACTCCTGTTAAGTTCCCTACTAAACAGTTGGGAAACCCTAGTGGTGTCGCTCAGTAGTCTAGCTCTTAATGGTGTGATCACTATTAGTATAATAAATGATAGTATGTTTAATGAAGAGGCCAGATGAAAATGAGCAAGACATTTTTTCTACTTTAGAAGCACTTGTTACAAAGATCAGGGAAGAGGTAAAACTAGAAATTATGTTGATGAAAATCATGACAACTTAGAGGTAGATCCAAGTAAAAAAGTGGGCAGTCAAGAATGGAAATAAAGTGCTTTCATTGTGGCAAGCTCAGGCATTATAAGAAAGAGTGTAGAAAGTGGAAATGTGCGCAATCTCAAGAAACAGATGAAGACAGAAATAATACTGTATTAGTTGCATCTGAGGCTGATGTGATTATTGTTTGTGATAATGTCTATGCTAATCTCGCAAGTCAAGACTCTACTTGGGTAATTGATTTTTTCATATTACTACACGTAGATATTTCCTCTCTTCCTATTCTAGAGGTGACTTTGGTTGGGTTAGGATGGAAAATGAAATAAAGTGTAAGATTGCGGGCATTGGAGATATATTGATTGAAACTAGCATTGGGTGTAAATTTCTTCTCAAGGATGTCAATCATGTTCCAGAGATGTGCTTTAACTTGATTTCAATTGGACAACTTGATGATGAAAGCTAATCATAATCACTTAGGTGATTGAAAATGGAAACTTAATAAGGGTTCTCTTATCTTAGCCTAGGGAAAGAAGATTAACACTCTCTACAAGACTAAGGTAAATATAATCAAGTGTGATGTGAATGTAATTGACCATGATTCTTCCATAAAGTTTTGTCATAGGAGACTTGGCCACATGTTTGAGAGGGGACTTTAGATCCTTGCTAAGGAGTAGCTTCTACCTGACATTAAAGGTATGCCACTAAAGCCTTGCACTCATTGTCTTGTAGGAAAATAAAATAGAGATTCATTGGTTAAATCTCTTTCCTCTAGAAAAGATGACCCTTGGGTGTTAATCACCTAGGCCCATACTCTTACCTCCCCTACGTCTCAGGAGCTATGACTTTGTTAGAAGCNTCTAGAAAAGATGACCCTTGGGTGTTAATCACCTAGGCCCATACTCTTACCTCCCCTACGTCTCAGGAGCTATGACTTCATTAGAAACACTCAAGGCCTCTAACTTGGTTGATATGGTGAGTTTCTCAAAGTCCTCATTGGTCACCCAAACTTGTTTTTCCTTCCTAAGACTTGGGTTAGGTTGCAAAATTGGTGGAGGAATAGCTTTCTTCTCCTTGGAAGTGTGTAGATCAACCTTCACCTTGGGGGTAGAAGAAGCCTTGTGCACTCTAGCTTGTGGTCCTTTAGATGGTGATGCATGACTCTGATTGGACTCACATGATTTTTCCAAAAGCTTAGAGAAATTTAAAACGTGAGAATTCAAGGCTTTGGATTGATTAGCTAGTTGCACAAGTTTCTTATTCAAGACATCCCTATTTTTCATACAATATTTTGCATGATGACCATGCTCTCCACAAGTATAACACACTTTATGACTGGCTTGGGCTTTATAAACAAATTTATTCTTTGAATGCCTACCCTTGCCTTTATTAGCATCTTTAGTGTTTGTGCCTACTTGTGGGGGTGATGGGTTAGTGATACCCTTCCTAAACACAGTCTTGAAAGAAGTGTGAGTGTATCCATTTGTGTAGCATATACCATGCTTATCACCTACACTCTTACTCATAGATAACATTCTATCAAATTTTTCATTGCTTTGAGGAAGTCTATTAGATAGTTCAATTGATTCACAAAGATTTTTGTCAAGTTTGGCACATTTTGAATCAAGATTGTTCTTAGGCTCGACAAGTTCGTAACACTGTCTCTCAAGAAATCTTACTTGATCAAGGAGAGACTTGTTCTCAGCCTCTATGCCACAAATTTGGGCCTTGGACTTCACCAAGTCCAAATGAAGGGTTCTTGTCTCCTCTTAACTTGAGATGACTCGACCACTCAAGGAAAGCACCGTATATTGTTGCTTAAGGTATTGCACATACAATTGATCATACACATCTTGAATATCCTCAAAGAACTCTTCATCCTCCACACATGTGGGAATTTCTTCTTCCAATATTCGACCTCCGTTGTAGGACATTTTTCAAGTCCACTCATGGAAGTTTCTCTAAGGGGAGAGGAGAGTGGACCTATAAAAGCCATGAAATTGTCTTCATCATCTTGTGAAGAGGAATCATCACCCGAGGTAGACTCACTTTCACTATCACTCCACTTGGCTTTCATAGCCTTCCTCTTTTCATTGGAAAAATCTCTATTTTTCTTATTTGGGCATTCTAATGCAATATGTCCAAAACCTTGACATTCAAAGCATTGGTACCCTTGCCCCTTTCTCTCATTTTTTTCGAGAGTTTCTTCCCCCTTTCTCTCTTCCATCCTTAGGAGTTGGTCTACTAGGCTTTTCTTTCGACCTTGAGGACTCAACATTACTAGTTTTGAAATATTTTTTGAACTTCTTGGCTAGGTCCTCCTCTTCTAATTGGGGTGACCCAGATTTATGTACTTCTTGGTTTGTAAAGCTCAAGGCAAAGCCCATAGCTTGCTCTAAGTATGGAAGGTTCATCTCAAAGGTCAAGATAGACCCAACTTAGTCTTCTATTGACACCAACTCCATGGTAACACTTGTTTCCATGGATTTGAACTTAGCATGAAACCTCTTGGGTAGAGATCTCAAGATTTTTCACTTAATTTCCACATAATTGATTAGCACAAAACATTGCATATTTTATGTGCTAATACATTCTTCTTTCACTTGCTTTTGGGGATTAAATGTGTGGACTTGTGCTATTTGAGCTATTAATGAAGAATTGTGGTGTTTGCAGATGAAAGGTGCCAAATGATGCTTCTTAAAGCCTTCCTAGATGGTTTGAGGATGATAAAGATGAACAGATGGCTTGAGGATAGCTCAGGAGAGGAAGAAATCAAAAAATCAGAAAATTAGCCAAACCGTACCGGTATGCGTACCGAGGCTACTAAAGTTCAGGGTACCGGTGCGTGTATTGGTATGCTTTATTGATTCTGCCCAAATTTTGTAGCCATGCTCTGCTTCCTTGAGGGTCCCACCAACAAGTCTTCCACACTCCTCTGACACGCCCACAACACTGTTCATCCCTTTCACACCTCTCTTTAGACTTTTGGAGCCATGGTGATCAATAAGGAGAGAGAAGAGAAGTTGGGTGTGCAGACAAGGTCTGCACCCCCTGTCCAACCCATTCCTCCTGTAGCTCTATGGATGGAGATCACATATGTAGGCTAGGCCATCACTCCAAGCACGTTTTTGTCAAGAAATGACTCCATTGTTCAGGACTTCATACATTAAACATTGTAATATAGAGAGAGAAGCTCAAGGAAGAAGATGAATAGTATTAGAGAGAGAAGTTCAGATTTTTATAGTTTCTTCCATACATTGTCTTCTAATTTGATGTAAGAACCTTTGAAGCTTCCTTTAATGCTTTGAATGTCATTAATGTCTAGTTGTTTTCAAGTTCAATCTTCTATTAAAGCTTTCACCATTAATGCTTCAATGTTCTTAAATTTCCTAGTTGTAAATGGGTATTAAATGCATTCTCATTTAGTTTACAATTCTTGCATTTACTTCACCAAGCATTTCTTTTCCTTGTTATGGATTCTCACTACATTGTTGGTTCTCATTTAATCATGAGTAGCTAAATCTTTACGGTGGCTAATCCAAGGGAGACCTCTCGTTGGGTATACCACCTAAACTCATTCCCTCTCCTCCCCTCGATGTATGGTGATTCAGTTTGACTGAGTTGAGTGTGGACCGGAGTGTGAATCCTTGATATCCCGTAGGCATTGTCACGGGTTATGCTTGGGCCCTTATTTTTGTTATGTCCCTCAACTCATTCTGTGTATATATTTTTGTTGTGTAGAATTTCACTTGTAGATAAGTTGTTGCATGTGGGGTGGAACGAACAAAACCAATTGGTTAGACAACCCATAGACCCCAACATGAATATTGACCAAGACCCACCCGAGGATGCAGGTGACAATTTTGGGAATGTGGATGCCAATCCAAACAATCAAAGGGGTGGGGGAGTGCAAGAAGCTAGATTGCCTAATCCACGAGTGCAATTCCCCCCTCCTGTGAATGAAAGGAACAATCTCTAAATGGATCCTCCAGCAAGGTCCATAAGGGAATTCCTTCAACCAACCCGTAGCACCACACCCTCATGTATCCACTTACCGGTCCAAACTCATCTCTTTCGAATTAAGCCAAGGATGTTGCAACTACTTCCTACATTCCATGGGATTGAAAAGGAAAACCCCTACTTGCACATAAGGGAGTTTGAGGATATAGTTGCAACCTTCAATGCTAACTATGCTATGGAGGACATAGCTCGATTAAAATTATTTCCTTTCCCCCTCAGTGATAAAGCCAAATCATGGTTGTATGTCTTGCGACCTCGATCCATTACCTTTTGGGCTCAAATGCTTTCTGAATTTTTGAATAATTTTTTTTCGATTCATAGAACCACTGCTTTAAAAAATGAAATTCAAAATTTTTTTGAGAAGCCCAAAGAGCAATTTTATCAATGCTGGGATCACTACAAGGAGTTGATACAATCCATACCACATCATGGCTTTGAATTATGGCAACTAGTAAGTTTCTTCTACGAAGGAATCACACCAAGCCATAGACAATTCATTGACATGATGTGCAATGGCGAGTTCTTGAACAAAGACCTTAATGAGGCCCTGTACTACTTTAGTACACTGGCCCAAAATGCACAATCCTGGGATGTTAGGGATCCTAACGATGTACCTAGAACGTCTACGGGTAGTAGTCAACCACATAGGGGAAGGGATCTATGATTTGAGAGACCGAGAAGACTTGTTTTCAAAAATTTTCAAATTATCTAGGATTGTTGAGAGTCTTGAGATTAATAGGAGGCATGAAGTGTCACATGTGTCAAGGACCGAGGAGTCTTGCTCGATTTGCGAGAGTGTGGAGCATTCTATATCGGAGTGCCCCAACATTCGGACGCTTAAGGAAGCGTACCATGAGCAAGTGCATGCATTTGATCAAACAAAGCAATCATTCTCCCCTCACTCAAACACATATAATCCAGGGTGGAGTAATCACTCTAATTTCAGTTGAAGAAATGATAACCCCGTCCCTCATGGCTCAAACACATACACATCTCCCGTGCCTCCTAAGCAAGGTCAATACCAAAATCAATACCAAGGCCAAGGGCAAGCATCTAGCTCCCAATACCCCCGAAATAATTCACCAAGTCCACCTCCCCAAAGCTTCTCCCAACAAGGACCATCCAATTCTTCCACCCACCAACCTCCCCATAAGAGGAACTTGGAGGATATGCTTCATTCCTTCATCCAAAGCCAAACTGTCATCAATAACCAAACTGCCACAACTCTTAACAACATGGCAGCTCAACTCACAAAGATCATCAATCACATAGGGTTGTCATAACAAGAAAAGGGGAAATTCCCCGCTCAACCCCAAGAGAACCCTAAGGGATAGCATGTGATTGAATCTTTCGAGAACACCAAGGAGAGTTGTGAGCAACTCAAAGCGGTCACCACCCTTCGTTGTGGCAAACAAATCGATAAATCTGTTGTGCCAACGATTTCCCCCAAAACCACATTGCAAAAAGAAGAAGAGACCATGGGTGACACCACCGAGGGTGAGTTAAGTGAAAAGAAAGAAAGTGAGGTAGTTGAGGACAAGAAATTAGTTGATGATAAGGTGCTTGGTGCTCCCATGCTTGCCCCTTTTCCTAGTCATTTGAAGCCACTTGTCAAGGTGGCTAACTATGCTGATAATCTAGAAATGTTTAATCAGATAAAAATCAACATTTCACTCCTCGACGTTATCAAGCAAATTCCATCATGTGCTGAGATTTTGAAGGACTTATGCATGGTGAAGAGGAAACTGAATGTCCACAAGAAAGCATTCCTCACCAAGCAAATGAGCTCAATATTGAGGACCAACACTCCTCCAACATTCAAAGACCATGGCTATCCAACTATTGCCATCACCATTGGAAATTGTCAAGTGGAGCAAGCGCTCCTCAATTTTGGGGCAAGTGTGAACCTTCTTCCTTACTCGGTGTAACAACAACTTCAGCTTGAGGAGTTGAAACGCACCTCAATCACGCTTCAATTGGCAGACCGTAGTACCCGAACACCAAGGGGAGTAGTTGAGGATGTCTTAGTTCAAATTGATAAATTTTACTTCCCTATCAATTTTATTATACTTGATACACACCCTGTTGCAAACCCGAGCTCCCAAATCCCCGTAATACTTGGAAGACCCTTCCTTGCTACATCTAATGCCGTGATAAATTGCAGAACGGTCTCATGAAGCAAGCATTGGGGAATATGACAATGGAGCTCAATGTATTCAACTTGACAAAACAACCGGGTGATGATAAGGAAGTAAGTGATGTTAATAGAATCGACACTTTGGTTAAGGAATACTTGGAGCTTGAGGGGATGTTAAATTTCAAGGAAGAAGGAATTGTTGGTCTTGAGAAATTTGATGAGCAAGAGGGGGTAGAAGATTTGAAAGGGGTGGAAAGGTGGATCCCTACATTCGAGGAGTTACGCCATCAAGAAAAGAAAATCTTTCCTTCAAATGAGCAAAAGCCCAATTTGGAATTAAGGCCACTAACTTCCCATTTGAAATATGCTTATCTCAGGGAAGGTGAAACATTTTCGGTAGTTATTAGCTCAATATTGAATGGGGAACAAGAAGAAGAAATTTTGGAGGTATTGAAAAGGCATAAAGGAGCAATTGGGAGGTTCATTGCAGACATCAAAGGAATAAGCCCTTTCATTTGCACCAATCGCATTTATCTTGAGGAGGACGCCAAACCTTCCCGACAACCGCAAAGATGGTTGAATCCCATCAGGAAGGAGGTGGTGAAGGATGAGGTGTTGAAGCTACTTAACGTGGACATCATTTTTTTGATTGCCAATAGTAAGTGGGTTAGCCCCATGCAAGTTGTACCTAAGAAATCTGGAGTCACGGTGGTGGAGAATGATGAGAATGAGCTTATACCGACAAGGGTAATCACCGAGTGGAGAGTTTGCATTGAC